GCCACCTGTTCATGGAAGGCTCCAAGATAAAAACCGTTCCTGTATTTTTAAATCATTTCAAGGGACTGTATAAGCACCCACATGATCCCCTTGGTTTTTGCCTCTTGGCCAGTAAAACCTAAAATATTTACTATCTGGAATATTTTAAAAAATGCTTGCTTACTCAAGTAGAACAAGGAAGGTTAGAGTGGGAATCCCTCCAGTTACATCACAGGGGTTGGCATCCTGGCTTTTCCTCGTGCTCTTGGGCACGTGCCAAACTTCAGTCTCCCTAGGTGTTTGACAAGAGAGGGAAAGGAAATAATAGACTCTCTGCAGAGATGCAGTGGGTAAAACTCTTACAACAGGCAACCATAGCCAGTGCTCAGGAAGCATTAAGTTGCTTGTTTGCTTGCTTGTTTATTTTCTGAGACAGGGGCTCATGGAACCCAGTCTAGCTTCTAATTCCTAAGTAACCAAGGCTGACCTTGAACTCCTGATCTTCCTGCCTCCATTTCCCAAACACTAGAATTACAGGTGTGCCCAGCCCTGCCCAGTTGGCTGTTTCCTCAGCCTCACATTCCTGTCAGCACAATTAGAACCCACAGAGTGTTTTAAGTTCCTGGGATGTGGAGACTGCCGTAGTGAAAATCCGGAAAGTGCCACTTGCTGAACCTTTGTGTGTCTCCATCTCTTCAGACAGAAAAGCCGTCTAAGCGCAGCCATAGAGCCATCTTGAGAATCAAATGAGTTAGGACATGTAAGGTGTGTTTAAAAACTCTCACCTGCAAACAGTATCTGGTCAGTGTTTGAAGCCCCCAGTGTGTCAGGAGACTTGTTTTCAAGCAGCTATGAGGAGTAAGGGAGTAAGCCCCTTACTGTCTGGAGCCTCTGTACCTTAGTCTGGAAAATAAGGCTAATGTGATAACTTATAAGCTTCTAGGTCAAATTAATCTCCAGTCTTGGATAGGAACCAGCAAGCACTAGGCCAGCTACAAAGTGCTCTCAAGCCCAGTAGCCATGGGTTGAAAACAGACACCAAGCCAAAACTAATAAAGAGCCCAGCCACATCCATTTCCTGTATCTTATACTAGGGTTTTATATATATTTCTATATATATATATATATATAAAACCCTAGTGTGTGTGTGTGTGTGTGTGTGTGTGTGTGTGTATATATACACACATATATATATATCTGAATTTTAAAACTGGAGGGAGCTCTAGTGATTAACTAATGTTGAGGGTTTTCTTGTTTTTCACTAGCAGAGTCCTTTTTATTCCTAAGGAATTTTACTTTAAAACCGTAAGCCTAGAGGGAACAGAATCAAATTTACAGCACGTCAGGGCAGCTCAGCTGGTAGAGTGCTTCCCTACCATGCACGAAGCCCAGCACACGTGAGGTAGGGGCAGGAAGATCTGCAGTTTAAGGACATGAAACCTTTCCTTAATTAAAAAAAAATTGAAAAAGGCAAAGTTGCTGTCATTCAAAGAGAGAGAGAGAACAATAGAAATCCCACCTTCTCAGCTTTCTCCTTTACCACTCAAGGCTTCATTATAGAGCCTACTCATCCAGTTGATGGCTTAACAGGGAAATTTGGGGAAACTGAGGTTCAGATGAGGAGGCTTCATTATAGCGCCCACTCATCCAATTGATAGCATAACAGGGAAATCTGGGGAAACTGAGGCTCAGATGTGGGTTCCCCATCCTGGAGACACACAGCCAACTGGAGACAGATCCAGAAAAGAAACTAGATGAACTGGATCTGCTGCTGCCTAATTTAACCCTTGTTCCCTTAGAAAACAACACAGCGGTTGCCTGACTGTTCCAGTTAGTACTTGGGACCCAGCTCAGGGTCCAGCCTCAGGGAGTTAAAAGATGGGTGGTGCTTGATCAGCTTGGCCCAGAAATGAGCCCTCTCTCGGTACCAACTTCTTTCAGAAACGAGGAATAACAACAGCCTGGTGTCCAAGTATCACCCTAATTTCTGGATGGATGGGCGGTGGAGGTGCTGTTCCCAGCTGGAGAAGCTTGCAGTAGGCTGTGCCCCCTATGACCCAACCAAGAATGGTAAGACGTTGGGAAAGAGACAAAGAGGAAACCATCTCAGATTCCCATCAACAGGACATCAGAGATTAACAGCAAAATTCTGTTTCCAGAATTTTCCCAGGGTCCTTGTATCTACCACCACCCTTTTTGTACTTTCTATGTCAAAACTGATACACTCAAAGTGAGGTCATTAGTCAACCATCTCTACTGCCTCAGAGCTAGTCATAAACATAAAAACATATATCTGGTCCTGATCTACTAGATCAAAGTGTCGGTATTGACAAGATCAAATGGGGACTTTTGAAAAGTACTTCAGTAGGCTGTTATGGAATTTGAACAGTCTTGGATTTTATTTCCCCCTCTTAGTAGCCCTGGGTGTCCTGGAACTCACTCTGTAGAACAGGCTGGCCTTGAACTCATAGTGCTGGGATTAAAAGTGTATGCCTCCACCATCCAAGGCTGTCTTCTTAGATCTTAACATATAGAGACAGCCTTAAATATATCTTTTAGTGATATAACACCATGCACATGTCTAATTATATCATTTAATTCTACAGGCTTAAGGGAGAGAGAATTCAAATTCTCTTAATTTTAACTCTGGCGTCTTCCTGCCTGTTCTTCAGACTTGTCCTCAACCTACTTAGTCCCAGAGAAAAGGAAAACATAGTCTAAATGCAACATAGAAACAACAACAACAAAAAGTTTGTTCTTGGCTTTTCCATCAAAAGCCCAGGCCTGGGAATTAAGTGTATCTTGATTTTTGTCTAATGTTATGGTGACTTGAAGACCTCTACCTCCAACTAATTGGAGCTGTACTCAAATGCACTTTCACAGCATCATGCTTTGGTTCTTCACAGCAGTCTCAGGTAGAGAGATGGGGTCAAAGAGATGGACAGCCTTGAGCAGTTCAAGGTCACACAGGCAGGAAGGGATAGAAACAATTAGTTTTACTTCCTTTTTTCCTCCTCCGTCAGCCTCTCCTACCACAGATACTATTTCTCATCCTGTGGTTTTGACTGTCCTAACACAAGGCGGATATAACACATAGTTGGGTTTTCCATGGCTTCCTGAGTCACAGCCTCTCAAAGCCACTTTAAAAACCACTGTTTCTCACCTTGTATTTGGGAAAGAAAGACTCAAGGTCATCTGTCTGTTGGCCTGCATGACGGATAGCATTGCGGAGGTCAGTGCCTGCTCCTAGTGCTGTTGATCCTGCTTGCTGTACCCAAGCAGAGAAAAGAAGGTGTGGATCTTTTCGGGGGGTGTTGGCAGGATGCCTTCCTGAAGGGGAGCCCTCCCAGAGGCAGAGCTAGTCTCCGGTTCCTGCCAATACCCTTCTTTGGACCCTCAGAGGAGTCACCTGGCCACCTGGGTTCCTATGGCCTCAGGTCTAAAGTAGTAAGAGTGGTATCAGCACCCTAAGGTGATGTAATCCCTCACTTGCTTCCCTTCTAATCTGCTTCTGTTGTGTTGCAGTTTCACCTCGTAGAGTGCAGTGCTCCACAGCAGGGTTCACAGACTTTCCCTCACCCTGAGACACGTGATTGGGGTATTGCAAGTGGTTGAGTAACTCACTGTGACTCCCCTTGGGCTGGTCTTTGCAAGCTCCACTCTGAGCCTAATAGCTGAACAGCTCTCAGCCATGGCCACGCGTGCGAGGTGCAGCCATCCGCCTGACAATTTGCTTTCGCACAGCAACCCACTGTCACCTCTTCTGACTTAGTCAAGTAGTATCACTCCCCACGGTTTTAGCAGGATCTCAAGCAGTTTTGAGATGCATACCTCACTGTGCACACATTACATCATATTCCTGGGGTAAAGGCTCATAAAAATTGGGCTTTGGGAAAAAAAAAAAAAAAAAAAAAAAAACAACTTCTTGCCACATCCTTTTCTTGTTATGTGTTCCTTAACCTCTCTGAGCCTCTCAGGTAATTTCTTCATAAATGGATAGAGTAATAGGCAGCTACTTTAGGCGACTGTTGGAAACTCATTAGGGGTTGGTGGAAAGCTCTGAGGACGTTGGCAGCCCTAAACAAGCTCTTGGTAAATGGTTACCTTTCTTATTTGTGATGCAAGCATCCGAGATCTAGCAGCATCTGAGAAATGGCAGAATGGTTGAGAGGAAATGACCCGGCAACACACATCTCTGCCACTCTAGCCAGTCCTAACTACATCCCATGCCCATATTACACAGAGGGAGAATAGGGGCAAAAAGAGAAAGATCACTAGAGAAAGAGAAAGTGAGTCATCACAGATAACCAGACATAGAGCATAGAAGGGGCTCATTCTGGGAATGCTAGGGTTAATCCAGTTTCTTGGTCCAGGTCCCATGATAAATGGAACTAGATGTCTTCCTACCCACCCGTGTGTGTGTGTGTGTGTGTGTGTGTGTGTGTGTGTGTGTGTGT